GGCTGAGCGAGGAGCGGGGGCAACACCGAGGGTTGCGATCCCGATGCCGGTCCCGGTCCGGTACGGGCGCGACACTGAGGGTTGCGATCCGTTGCCGGTCACGAAAAAAGACAAAAAGACAAAAAAAAAAGAATGTTTGGCATTCATAACTTGGCTGTTTGGCTCAAGAGGCCTGGCTTTCAGCCTGTCTTGGCTTTTGACATGACTTCCTCACTAAGCTTAATCATTTCTAGATTTTGATTTAAAGTGAGAGGCATGCAACTCTTCCTTTCATGTAAACACTTAGAGGCCATTGTAGAGTTATTAACTGACTTAAGTTCAATATTGTTGTTGTCTCAGGCAATAGGGAAATTCAAGGAGAGGGAGAGAGATGTGGGAACAGCCAGTTGGTGGAATAGTCAGAACAAAATATTTATCAATTAACTTCTTTGGCTTATATGGGTGTGATTTGTGGCCCCTAAAACAATTACAATAGTAACATCAGGGGTTGCCAATTAGCTCAGGTGGTTAGAGTGTGGTACTGATAACACTGGGGTCCAGGTTTCCATTCCCATACTGCCCAGGCACTAAAAAGAAATAGTATCAAAAAATCATTGATCAGGCCGGCCCATGGCTCACTCGGTAGAGTGCGGTGCTGATAACACCAAGGCCACGGGTTCGGATCCTATATAGGGATGGCCGGTTAGCTCACTGGCTGAGCGTGGTGCTGACAACACCAAGCCAAGGGTTGAGATCCCCTTACCGGTCATCTTTTAAAAAAACAAACAAAAAAAAATCATTGATCACAAATCACCATTAACAGCTATAATAATGACACAGTTTGAAATATTAGGAGAAGTATCAAAATTTGAAACAGAGACATGAAGTGAGCATACGCTGTTAGAAAAATGGTGCTGATAGACTTGCTCAACAGGGTTTCCACAAAACTTCAATTTATAAAAAAACACAGTATCTGCAAAGTGTAATAAAGTAAAACACAGTAAAGTGAGGTATACCTATATAGAGAGTCCTTATGAAATGATCATGTTCTTGGTTTCAGTGGTCCCACCCTATCCTTCTCTAAGTTATGTAGGTCAGTAAATTCTCCCTTTTTACTTAAACTAATTTTAAAGACTTTTCAGTTTTAATCAAGGGTTCTAACTAATACAAAGTTGGGATCAATACTGGGTGTATGGGAAGGATACAGGGAAGTTAAAGTTGACCTGCAGGTAGCTATTCATATAGCACTTTTGTCTCATGGCTTTATAAATGTATCCATATCTGTTCCCTCAGCTAGATATTGAGTACTTTGAAGGCAGGGACTATCTGTATCTTATTGATTTTATTTGCTTTTAAGTTTATATCTAGTACAATGCCTGAAACAAATTAGGTGTTCAGTAAAGTTTTGTTGTTGAATAGTAAAGTTCACATAAGAAAATTTTGTCAATTTATGTAGAATGTTTTCCCTTTGGGTGCAATGTTAGTTTCAGGGATGGGGAAAAGGCATATTGTGTTGTTTTTCAGCCATTTTTGCTATAATTAAAGTTTGAAACAAAGTTTAAATCTTCCTCTCTGCTATAAACTTTAACACTGACTACAATTTTTATCATTTTTATGTGTGAAATATACTTAATGCCACATATAATTTCTGCTTTAGGCTAAAGGAAATTATTTTTAAAGAGAGAAATTCCAAAGCACAACTTAAAGTTATGGTTCATAAACTTCAAAGTGAAATTAAAAAACTAACTTTCGAATTAATTAAAGCAAGAGAGCAACAAGACGATCATCTTACACACTTAAGAACCCTGGAAAAAGCTTTAGAAAAAATGGAAAGGCAAAAAGGGCAACAGCAGGTGGCACAGGTATTTCTCCACTTTAATGTATCAGCGACATGGATTAAAACATTCATAGCTTCTATCCTGAAACAAATTATACCATATAGTAAACCTAAAAGACATTAAGCTATTTGCAAAAATTAAATT